TTTGTACTCGGCCTAGGGAAATGCGCAAATGTAGATAGACCCTTTATTATCTACACAGAATAGCATCATAGAAAACCATGGTTACAGTGTCCGGTAATGGCATTTTATTTCTGGTCACTTATCGGTAACAGTTTGGTGTTTGTATCCTTGACTGGTCTGCTGAGAATGGATATCGATAAACAATTCTTTTAAAAATATATTAACAGTACTTATCGATACATATATAGGTACTTTATATTAATAAATCTGTCTGGCTAAACTACTTGCCCGACTGGAGATTCCCATTTTCACATACTTACGTCTCTTAGTGAAAACACTAAGGAGTTCAAATTCAATTTGTACACCCATATATTTATTATAAAATTTGTATTATATTCGTTCAACATCTATATTAAAATGCGACATGTAAGCAGTTATCGTGAGTAGGGTAATTATTAATATACCTATATACGCAGAAAATCTAGTAAAATAATGCATAGGTATAATATTATCATTATGAAAAAAAGATTTGAGTACTTTGGTTTTGTTTCGGAAACAATATGAAAAATGTCTGGGAGCTACACAAAGAACTTTGCTAGACACTTTCATTGTACAGGGATAAAAAAGATAAAAGGGTTGTAGGCTTTCCGAATTCATAGTAGATCGTGATATATGTGAATAATTTACATATTTATTCTATTTTAGTTTTACATAGCTTAAAGTTATTATTTAGTTTCCATGTGGTCCCGGCACAAATTCTTTTACCACCATACCTATTGAAAAGGTTAGATAAATTACACGAGTTTCGATGGCGATAACGGTATTATTACCTGGTATACCGTTACCGTTTAGTTACAGCATATCAAAAGTTCACTGCTGAACTTAGGGCTCCCCCATGGATTGCCTTATATTTGCCATAGTCGCTGCAGTTTTTTAGTTATTTTCGTCCGAGAAGCGGATATCGTAATGTACGGCTTGATTTAGAATAACTCCTCATTTAATACTATTGAACAGATTCATGTCTGGCGGTGGGATATTTACGAGCTTATCATGATGATAAAGTGTTATAATAACCTTACCAGCTAAGGTTTACCTTATATAAAAATGAAATTATTTTAGAGCTTTGTATGAAAATTCATCGTTTTTGTCGTCGGAGGTTCGCCACTCCACTTTTATTAATAAAGTTTAAGTAAGTCTATTTTGACCACATTATTTTCTTTAGTATCAAGTGGGGCTAGCTTCTTATATAAAATTCAATTGCTGTCCGTTAGTCTCGCTAAAACTCGAAAACGGCTTCACTTATATATAAAAATCCATTGCTGTCCGTTAGTCTCGCTAAAACTCTAAAACGGCTTCATTTATATATAAAAATCCATTGCTGTCCGTTAGTCTCGCTAAAACTCTAAAACGGCTTCACTTATATATAAAAATCAATTGCTGTACGTTAGTCTCGCTAAAATTCTAAAACGGCTTCACTTATATATAAAAATCCATTGCTGTCCGTTAGTCTCGCTAAAACTCTAAAACGGCTTCACTTATATATAAAAATCAATTGCTGTCCGTTAGTCTCGCTAAAACTCGAAAAAGGCTTCACTTATATATAAAATCAATTGCTGTCCGTTAGTCTCACTAAAACTCTAAAACGGCTTCATTTATATATAAAAATCAATTGCTGTCCGTGTCTCGCTAAAACTTTAAAACGGCTTCACTTATATATAAAAATCAATTGCTGTCCGTTAGTCTCGCTAAAACTCTAAAACGGCTTCACTTATATATAAAAATCAATTGCTGTCCGTTAGTCTCGCTAAAACTCGAAAACGGCTTCACTTATATATAAAAATCAATTGCTGTCCGTTAGTCTCGCTAAAACTCTAAAACGACTTCACTTATATATAAAAATCAAAACTCTAAAACGACTTCACTTATATATAAAAATCAATTGCTGTCCGTTAGTCTGGCTAAAACTCGAAAACGGCTTCATCATCATAATCATCATTACAGCCCTTCACAAGTCCACTGCTGAACATAGGCCTCCCCCAAGAAACGCCACAAAGCACGGTCCTGAGCCACCTGCATCCATCGACTTTCCGCACGTCTTACCAGGTCACTCCCTCACCCTCAGACCTCAGACTCACTCCATCTAGTGGGGGGTCGCCCCACACTACGCCTACCGGCACGAGGCTGCCACTCGAGAACCTTTCTTCCCCATCGGTTATCGGTTCTACGAGCTATATGGCCGGCCCATTGCCACTTCAGCTTACTAATCCGTTGGGCTATATCGGTCACTCTGGTTTTACTGCGGATATCCTCATTTCTGAGTCTATCACGCAGAGAAACTCCGAGCATAGCCCTCTCCATAGCTCGCTGAGCGACCTTGAGCGTCCTCATACGGCCAGCAGTGAAGGACCACGTCTCAGATCCGTAAGTCATCACTGGCAACACGCACTGGTTGTACACTTTAGTTTTCAGAGATTGAGGTATACCTGACGAGAAGATGTGTCGTAATTTCCCGAACGCTGCCCAGCCGAGTTGAATCCGTCGATTGACCTCTCGGTCGAAGTTGGACTTACCTAGTCGGACTATTTGTCCCAGGTAAACGTACTCGTCAACAACTTCGAGCATAGTGTTCCCAACAACTACCGGCATAGAAAAACGGCTTCACTTATATATAAAAATCAATTGCTGTCCGTTAGCCTCGCTAAAACTCTAAAACGGCTTCACTTATATATAAAAATCAATTGCTGTCCGTTAGTCTCGCTAAAACTCTAAAACGGCTTCACTTATATATAAAAATCAATTGCTGTCCGTTAGTCTCGCTAAAACTCGAAAACGGCTTCACTTATATATAAAAATCAATTGCTGTCCGTTAGTCTCGCTAAAACTCTAAAACGGCTTCACTTATATAAAAAAAACAATTGCTGTCCGTTAGTCTCGCTAAAACTCGAAAACGGTTTCACTTATATATAAAAATCTATTACTGTCCGTTAGTCTCGCTAAAACTCTAAAACGGCTTCACTTATATATAAAAATCAATTGCTGTCCGTTAGTCTCGCTAAAACTCGAAAACGGCTTCAATTATATATAAAAATCCATTGCTGTCCGTTAGTCTCGCTAAAACTCTAAAACGGCTTCACTTATATATAAAAATCAATTGCTGTCCGTTAGCCTCGCTAAAACTCTAAAACGGCTTCACTTATATATAAAAATCCATTGCTGTCCGTTAGTCTCGCTAAAACTCTAAAACGGCTTCACTTATATATAAAAATCAATTGCTGTCCGTTAGCCTCGCTAAAACTCGAAAACGGCTTCACTTATATATAAAAATCCATTGCTGTCCGTTAGTCTCGCTAAAACTCTAAAACGGCTTCACTTATATATAAAAATCAATTGCTGTCCGTTAGTCTCGCTAAAACTCGAAAACGGCTCGAACGTTTTAGTTTTAGGTGAATTTTGTTGTGTGGGTTTGTGTGTCGTTGGGTGGTGTAAAAACTGTTTGTCGCTGTGTGTCGTGGCGATGTTGTCGAGATCCAGGAATACGAAGCTGGGGCGGATCGCTAGTATTTAATAATTTTATACAACGATTACGGGGGAATTTGTAGATTTTCAATAATAGTTTTTTTTACTATATCATCAATGAGGTTCAACTCCCACGTTCGTCATAATCATCATCCGAATCTTTGATCTCGTTATAAGTTAATCGTTGAATTATATCTGAACTTCTTCTACTTTTCGTAAACGTCACGCAATAAAAATGAATAAACTACAAGCAGAGGCACAGCCACGCTGCAGCTATATTATTAGTTGTACCACGAATAGGTCAGCTTTACCGGGAAGGGCTACGCTCTCACAGAATATCAGTGTAAAATATCTGCTTTATGCTGCTGTGTTTCGTATGGTGAGTGTAGAGAACCAGGGAACCTTCTTGTTGTAAACGAGGCGTTTCATATTAGTCTTTAGGGTTAACAACGCATCTGTATTTTGATTCTTAATCGAGAATAGATGTAGATTTCTATGAACTACTCAGAATCTACTTACTATCAGTTGCTCATTTGTCACATTTATTATAACTCGGCTTCGCAAGGGTGATTTCTGGATCTTGCCAATAGTGCTACCTGCCGGATCCAAATCTAAACCACCCAGGGACCTATTCAAACAAGTAAAAATTTCATAAAAATTGGTCTTGATTTGAAATTGATTTTTATATGTGAGATAAAAAACACAACGTATGATCTCAGGTTTTGAAGGTCTTTTGAGTGACGGGAGCAACGCAATATATTTTTACCACCTATTAACCACTTTAAAATACATCACTACTTATGTACATACCATCCGGTAGGATAGTATTTCAGCTCTGGCTTATTATAATATTATGTGTAAAAAAGTTTATTTAACCCTGCCGTGCAATGGGTAATATCGGTAGCAACGACTTTATTTTTTTCATTGCGAAGATTTATACTATTTAGATTATAGTTATTCTATTTCACGATGAAGGTTTCGTCTTGATTGTGGTAGTGACTTGTACCGACAGGCGTGTTTGTGTGTGTAACTGCGATTCGTTCGACTCGCGATCGTGACTGAGCGCTTCCGAAGCCTACGCACACTAACACAATGTGTATGTGCACGGCTAACAACAACCAAAGTCAAACTTTCATCGAGAAATAAAATTACTATACCAGTAAACACCATTTTAAACAGCGTACACAGAAATATTTTACTTTTAAACTTCGTTTCATCAAGTTTGCTTTTATACTACGCATGGCGCATTCGTGCTTGACGGGCTTTCATGAACTTTTCGTGAAGTACGAAATAAGCTGGTTTATATATAACCATATCGTGTAATTCACTGAATAAAATTATTTTAAAAGTACCAATGTTTAATAATGGATACGTTTTTAACGTGCATAGAAGCAATATTGGTGTAGTTAATGATTTTGTCTTTCAGAAAATATATACTTAGTAAATAAATGGAACGCCAGTTATCAGGGAAAGATTTTATGTGAACATAATTTTTATTTAAACAGAAGCGGGCGGCAATGCAGCTGGGGCGACAACGCCGAGCGGGCCAGGACGGGCGGCGCGGGCGCGGGCGCTCGAGCTGGCGCAGCAGCTCGCTTCTTCCCTCCAGCACGCTATCCCGCCGCCTCCAAGACCCGATTTTACCACCGCGAGCGCCATCCTGCGTTGGCTGCAGCAGAACAACAACTCAGTTGCATTGGTAAGTCATACAATGTAATTCGTATTATTACAGGCCTTCTACACGGTCGGGACCAACCACCAACCGTCGTGACCTTGGTCGAGTTGATGTAAAAATGGGCAGTGTAGACATCGGTTGTCAGACCAATATTTTGATTGATGTCCGACGGCCTTGGTCGAGAGCGCATCCCTCACGACACGTCGGGTCCGTGGTTGAGCCCGACCGTGAGGAAAGCTGTCGGCCGACCAGAGCGCCTCAGTGCGCGCTTGGTAGTCGTCGCGGGGTATATTAACCATGGTTGCGGGCGCAAGTTGCAATGGCGCATAGTTTTTAGTCATTCATTAAAAGTGTCTTGATCCATTCTTAGAAAATTTCGAAAGACTTCAGAATCAAGAATCCTTAAAATATTGAGATGGTTCAAATTAATTCGCTCTTTTAGCCACAGTTTCATCCACTTTCTTTTTTTCTTTGTTTTTCTTCTTCACTCAAGCATAAGAAAATTATTGCCAAACCGATCTTTTGTTCCTTCGAAAGGCAAGGAGCCATATTTAGCTAATTCTTTACGCTTTGAATGCCGTAGAGAACTGACAAGTTGAGTCAACCACCCGACCGTGTAGAACGAATCAAAAATCGGTTGACCCGACCAAGGTCACGACGGTTGGTGGTTGTTCCCGACCGTGTAGAAGCGCTTTTATGCCTATCACGCGATTGGCTCGGCTCGACCGCGGTAGGACCACGATCTCACAGAATACCAGCGTAAAATGGTGAGTGTTGAGAACCGGAGACTGGAAACGAGGTATTCCAGCTTAGTCCTCAGAAACTCAAGAGTGACAATGCATCTGTATTTTGATTCTCATTCGATGATAAAGGTAGATGTTTATGAGTCACAGCATCCACTTAACATTTGGTGGACAGAGTGCTCCTTTGTTACCCCTTTTTATAATTAATACTACTGAAATATGAATAGAATTAAAAATTGTTTTTTGGCCGGTACATTTCATTCACCTGATGGTGTATGTGTATTAGATTGCATGTGTATTAGATGCAGCCAACGCCGCGTAACTCAACACAAAAAACACTTGGCGATATTGTAAAATAGCCTGCTGATAGAATGTGAACCTACGACACAAAGATGCAGTTCAAACTTATAGTATTATAGTAGTATGCCTAGTATGGGGCATTTATTTGTAATATTTAGGATAGGAATACTCATTTGTATTCTTCTTTTAGAGCTAAAATTGTGTTTCTCCAGTACGCTCTCCGGTTGCCAATACTTGCGGGGATAGGCATATGTACATAATATAATGTATGTACATAATATAATGTAGGTATGCCTACGTACTTTCCACTAAAATTTAATTTAAGATTTACACACGGCCTTCTCTTATCTAGTTGTATATTTAAAAAGCTAGAAGTGTTTTATTTTTAGTATTATAGTTTTTTTTTATAAACGCTAATAATGTCATATAGAAATTGTATGGTCATTTACCGACTGTCTCAGACTCACAAGGTAAGTTATATGTTTGGGTGGATGTTTGATTATTAGTTAACACCTAAACGGCTGTACGGACTTTGAAATATATCCCGGGTTCGATACATTTATTACTAGTTTTTATCCGCGACTTCGTCCGCGTTAAACTTTAACAAAAAACTTGTAGATTTGGAACTTTTGGAACACCCTCCCCAATGATATTAAGAATGCCACAAATAAGAAATTCTTCAAAGTTCTAAGACAAAATTACCTGAGGGCAACTACCAACGGACATAATTTTTTCCTTTTTTTGCATTTATTTATGAAGTTTATAGGAATATTATACAGGGTTACAAGAAAAATCGTGCTAGATCCGTTAAGGGCGTGGAGTACCCATCATTTCCGACTTATTTCACTATGAAACACCCCACCCTAAACTTAACCCTTTTCGAGATATTCGACTTTTAATTTTTTTGTTGAAAATTGCCGATTTTTCGGCTACTACATTTATTTTTGTTTATTTTGTGTATCTTATTATTATTATTATTGCATTTTTACATGTGTAATAAGATGCTTTAGGACGTCAATCATTAAAATAGTGCATAAGTTAATTGAATAGACCGTAGTAGACAAGTGAAAGTAAAGAAATAAAAAAATATTATGGCAATTGTTCGGCAGATGTTTTTTTTTAAATATCTACGTTTCATCGGATATCTTTGCATCTTTGGCAACAACACATACAAATATCTTTGGCGCCCAGGGTTGACTGACAGAGAACAGAATGCCACATGGCATCAATTTCAGCCTATGCTCTTTAGCTTAACGTGTTACATTTAAGTGTAAAATATATGAAATAATATAAATATTCCTACTGGCAACTCAAAATTATAAAAACCCGTTGGGATATGTTACATCTGGTATATAGATTTATTATACCACCTATCAGGAATCCTAAGACCATTGTGGCTTTTTATAGTCACCTCTTCACATATCGACCGACGGAATTAAATGAGGTGATAGATTCTCTTACAGCACTCCCACATGTTATTTTTAGCGATATAGGAAGCAGATTTCTACCGTATTACGTCAGTAACATTTGATTTGTTACTGTAACGATACAAGTACCGTTACCGTTACAGTGTATTAGTAATGTTATGTAATGTAATGTATCAGTTATGTTCACTGCTCAACATGGGCTTCCCGCATAGATTGCCTCATAGTGAGATATTTGCCATACTTGTCACGCATGGCAACCGGGTTGGCAACCGCAGTTTTTTATTTTTAATCGTTATCAGGAAGATGCTGCTGCCCATCTCCTGACTTGTTTCCCTCTGTCGCCTGTTACGACACCCACGGGATGATCCGAAGCATTATTATTACATCACCATTTCTGTACATATACATACATAACATAATACATAAACAGTCACGCCTGACACCCAGAGGGGTGGGCAGAGTCTATAGATTTCATTTTGGCACGATCCTGACACACTTCTCTCGCCTCCTCCACATTCATATACCTACGCATACATGCTCGTACTCCTAATTTGGCCTTTGGTTTGGATAAACTTTCGCCTAGGACGTCCCTTGCCGACTCTTCCATTCAATTCTGAAACATAAATTTACTTTGTCACGCTTTCCTTATTCTTTCTTTCTACATGACGAAACCACCTTGTACATTCTGTACATATCTGATTTGGTAAAGTGATGACAAACTGAAGTATAAAAGTACAATTAATACAAGTAAAGTACGGCGAAAGCCGTTAAAGTCGAGAGCTCCTAGCACACTGCACAAGAATTTTCCAGTTCAGTAGTATTGGTTAACGGGAATATTAGTGATATTGATGCGTGACTAGTAATTAAAAAAATAACTAAACGATAGTCTTGTGGTTGTCGTCCAGAAGTACATTACCATAACTTAAATCATCTATACGCATACCTATACAACTTGTATGAAATGCCTTTATATCAGTGTAACAAGAATTTACGAACTCTTCAGACTTTCAGACGCGCTGTCACAATGGATCTGCATTTAATATTTCACAGTACCTATCAAAGAGCGCTCCGAGCTTTATTGAGATGACTTGCTGCCATAAAAGCTTCCGCTTGAAACGTTAATTGAATTTTCGCGATATTTGATGAAATGGTAAAAAATAGGGCTGTTTTATTCATTACAATATGCAGATCGTATTGTGCTAATTGGAAAGCATATACGTGGTAGAGCTACGCTGCAGCTATATTATGTTTGTAACACGATTGGGTCGGCTCGACTGGTAAACCACCATGTTCTCACAGCATACCAGCATAAAATAGCAGCTTAATGCCGCTGGGATTCTTAAGATGGGTATTGAGAACTGGAGACTTATTTTATAGAATATGGGTGACAAACGAACACACAGTCCACCTGATGGTAAGTGGATGCTGTGGCCCATAGACATCATCTACATTTATCTTTGGTTACGAATCAAAATGCAAATACATTTTCACCCGTGAGGACTAAGATGGAATGGCTCTTTTCCAGTAAAAAGAGTACGGTTCTCTAGACTCGCCATACGAAACACAGCAGCGTTAAACCTCTATTTAACACTGGTATTCTGTGAGAGCGTGTTCCTTCCTCGGTCGAACCGACCCATTCGTGCTATAACTATATTGTATTAATATAGCTGTAGCATGGCTCTACCACGTATAATTTTTTTTACTAAAAACGAGGCATTCCATCTCAGTCTTCAGGTATGCCGACGCATCTGCATCATCTATTTTTAAATGAGGATAAATGTAGGTGTCTCTGTTACTAACATTTTAATAAAAAGCTTGGTGTCATCATCTTATATATCAATATCAATTCAATATTAGTCTTCTTTTGGCCTTTTGTTTAAGGTTAACTAAGTATTTTATACATATTTAAACATACAAATTATATATGTTATGCTTATTATTTATTATTTAAAACATAATTTTTCCTCGTCCTATGTTCGACACACAAATACAAACAGTATACCTATAGACGTATTGAATATTTTGTGGATTACAAATGTATTTAAAATCGTTATTTTTTACATTCGGGTGTTAGAACTTAATGGCTTATAATACATTTGAAAACCTTTTAAGCCATGCTCAGCACACGGAAACACTAATTGCACCACTAGAAGCCTTTGCTCGCTGACGTGCACTCAGCCATAAATAACTTTGCTAACGCTCGAACTACTCACCGATCACCTAGGTATGTTTTCGAAGTTTTCCACATTAAACATAAAATATAATTTCCACGTTAACGTTAATGCCGTAGACAATATTATATATTTATTTTGTATTCCATTATTAGTTAAAAATGTTAAAAGCTATATATATACTAATTTATAACTATTTTATTATTACTTATTTCTGTCTATAATATTTAAAAGCTATGATGTTATTATGATGACAATGTTAGAACAATAGATTTTTAATAAAATAGATTTAGAATATGGTTTTGCAATTATTATAATATACACTAGGAACACCCCTGCCCCTGGCTTCGCATGGGTGGGATCTTTTAATTTGATGTTATTTATTTTTAATGAAAGATCTT